TTTCCACAAGGTGTGTTGTTGTATTTCGATTGTTGGCTTCATTTTATTTTACCTCCGTCAATAACTTTGTAAGTCTTTTTTTTTGTTTTATTCAATTTATTAGCATTGGTTTTTTCAATTTCATCTGTGGTGACAGAAGATTTATTAGTTATAATAGGCTCTTCCATTAAAAAAAAGTAATAGTTGTTAAAAATTTCTTTGACTTGTATAGCCTCAGTATATATATATATATATATATATATATATATATATATATATATATATATATATATTTTGTAAACATATTATACCTCCTCATCAATAATATGGTTGCATGTGATTCCTATAACCGTTAATCCAGCTGAACTTGACTGATAATTGTAAGATGTTACCTTAACTTTGAATTTAAAGACGGCCCCGATAAGTTTTTCGGAAAGATAGGAGATGATACCTTTAACAGTTGAATCTTTATATAAATTTTCCTACATATAGTAATTTTAAAAATTATTTTTGGATTATAGAACTTAGTATAGCAATTATTTTAAGTATGATACTTACGTAGTTTTTAATCAAGTCTGTAGCAGATTTTCCTAAAATACGGGTCATGTCTTTGTTAAATGTCGTTAACAAAACTGAATCCGAGTCATCTTCAACAACAATCTCTATTTTATACCTATTGTATAGGTTTTTGTATTATTATTTGTTTGTAATTAAAGTAAAATAGTTCGTTTGATAATTACCGTAAAATTCCCACAATATCTGGTCTTTTGCACTTTTTGCATGTTAGTTTTCCTTCATTTTTCTGGAGTTTTTTTGCGCAATGATTACATGAAATATAATTCCATCCATTTCTTGAGCAAATTTCAGTAATTTTGCCTTCAATGATAAACTCCTTTTCCTATTTATAATAGTTGCACAACGAGTTTAGTTTGTATACAAGTATTTAATTATTCGTCAAATTTCAAAAATAAGTATAGATTTATTTACCTCAAATAAATCTTTTGAAATAAAATCAATAATTTCTGTAATTTTGACGATGTCACCACATACTTTAGTCGAAGTGCTTTCACCCTTCACTTGTAGTTCTGGCAATCTGTATTGACCACCCATTCTTTTAAATTTTGTAATATAACATATATATATATATATAAATTTAATTAAAATTACCTCTTTTGGAAAGAATGAATAGTATTTAATGGGTCATTTAGATATATTTTGGTAGCAGATGTTGTGTTTAGGTAAAGATAGCTTACAATTAAGTTTGTTTAGTTATTTTTGTAGATTATTTATATTTGTTTAGTTAAATATGAAAGAGTAATTTTTTTGGCAATACTAACCTGAATATGTTTTCGGATTGACACTTGTTATTATAAGAGTAACACCATATGCTTCCTTATTTTTCATTTCATTTTTGTACGTATCTACCATATTGTTCCAAATTGTAATTTGCACTTTGCTTCCACTGTTATATAATTGTTGATGAAATCATTAATTTTTTAATTGGAATACCAAAACTTATGTAACAACTATTGTATTGTATTTTTTTTCCTCATATTTTTGGTTTTAAAAGCTAAAAAAATTATTATTACTAACCCTTCCAGTTGGAGGTCAAGGTTTATTCTTCTATGTCATGTACCCGTATCTTCTGTATTTAGCTTTTCTTCTACAATTACACCAATAACGTCTTCATTTAAGTAGACTATATTAGCATACAATATTATATTTTTACAACTTAAATGTATTTTTAATATAATTACCATCATAAGTTAAATTCTTATCAGTAATATTCGTAAGTTGATCATAATCACTGAATCTGAACTTCTCGTAACTTATTTGTACAACTTCTTCTGACACTGGTGTTATTGATGAATTTGCATTTAAACGTATATTAAAGGAATGATCTGAAATCTTATATTGTTCACCGGCTCTCCATACTTCAAAATAAGCGAAGAGATATATATTGCATTCTAAAATCTCAGTGGAAAATTGTTTAATGTGACGAGCACAGATTGACTCCATTATTGTTAATTCCTATATTTAAAATTAATTATATTTTAGTATACTAAACCTATAGTTGTGAAAAATGTTTAATAATTACCTTCTCATCCAATAGTAAGAAATTAAGACTTATTATATCATTACTATTTTTAGGATTCCTTACTTCCCATAAACAATTACTCTAGCTATAATTCTTTGTTCTCCCCTTTTCATTCTAAGGTTTTCTAGAAAGTTGTATGAAGGAAGTTCCATTGTTTTTGTATCTGAGATTTTTTTGTGTTAAACAAGTAATCCTCCGATTACCCTTTTATAGATGGAAAATGTTTTCAACCATCGCATCTTTTTGTTTTCAAAGGTTGTGTTTGTTCCTTACTCGTAACCCTTTCTTTGTACCCGTACTTTTTTTTTCCATATTAATAATAATTATACACCCTTTTTTTAATCGTGAAATTTGTACCTTTCCAGTATCAAAAAAACTTTTCTTCTGACTAACTCGAAACTGTCCATTTAATTGTCTGACATATGTAACCCCCCCCCAGTCGTAAACAATTTTAGGTTTAATGTCCGTAGTTTGGTAGGTTGTCCAAAATATGTTACGTTTTCATGCTGATTTTTAAACATATAGTTATCCTTTAAAATTAATAAGAAACAAATCACATTTGAAAAGGGTTCTTTTGTAGCAAGCCCACTATACAATTCATTTAAAATTTGGGTTATTTTTATAGATGTGTGCCATTTTGTTATCAACATGTTTTGGGCTTTGTTATAAGTAGATTGGTAATTAGTGTAATCATTGTCATAAAAGGCCCTTTTTATTTTGTATTATTACTCGAATTTGTTTTTTTCGGTTTCGATAGTGTTGGGTTTTTTTTCACGGTTATTCTCGACGGTTTTAGTCGAAAAGACGCGTTTCTTCTTCGCGTCCGTTTTCATTGTAAATTACATCGATTGAAGTCCTTCTCAGGGATAAATCGAAACCGCCATTTCCAAATTATATATACTTCGATGGTCATTCCTTGTTTGTTTATACAAGCTTTTTAGTGTTCAAGATGAACGACAAACTCAACTTTCGTACAAGTGAATTAGGGGGAGAAAAAGCCCCAGTTACTTTGCCTTCAGCCATGTGCGCCGAATCTGTGCGTTTGAATCGGTTTTCCATTGTTGGGGTCCTTTGTAACCCAGAAGAACAGAGCATGAATCTGCTAATTAATCAGATGCCCGCCATTTGGGGCTTAAGTGATGTCGTTATTGGTCGGATGCTTGACAGCATGATGTTTCAGTTTGTGTTCCCTACAGAGGAAGCGCTTAATAGAGTCCTGCGTAATCGTCGTTGGTCCTTCGAGAATTGGATGATCTTCACCAAGCGTTGGGATCGCAATGCTGAAACGGAAGACTTAAATATGGTTCAGCTATGGGTTCAGATCAAAGGAATCCCTCCTCATTATTTGTCTAGAGCAGTAATCGAGTTCATAGCAAACATGCTAGGTCAAGTTCTCCTTCTTGATTTTGTTGACTCTAAGAACCTCACGGATTATGTTTGGGTTTTGGTCAACTGGAACATAAACAAGCCATTACGTTTTAATCGTAAGTGTCAATTTGCTGATGGTGAGATCTCTATGCTTTCCTTCCGCTATGACCCTGTTGGAAAGTATTGCAACAACTGTGGATTGCTGACATATGACATGAAGAGATGTCCTCTGCCCATTCAAAACAATGCTAACAAGAAGTTTGACGATGGTTTTGCTGTTGGTACTGAAAGTTTCCCTCCCCAGAACAATGGAAGACAGTCCTTCTCAAATGTATTCAGTAAGGCGGGAATGAATGTAGGACCTTCGGGGGAGTCGCCATGTGCCTTCTCCGCCATTCCACGGCATGATTGTGACAAGCTTGTGGAAACATTACGTTTCCTTAAAGCAAAGTATGTTGATGGAGAGAACGTTGGCGGACCCAAAGGTAGTCCAACAAGTGCTACTTTTCAGGTTGCAAAATCGGGTGCCGGTGATCATTACAAATCTACTCCAGCTGGAGATATCCTCATTAAAAAGGAAAATATTGGTAATATTGTTTGCTTTGACAACTTAACCATATTTGTATATTCTACTATGTTTTCTTAATTGTTTCTTTTTTTTACGAACAGAACCGGCATATCAGCCTATGGAGACACGTTCTATTGACAAGGTTGATGATTTTTGGATAGACAAAGCCAACACACAGGGGGGTTTGCGTGTTGCCAAACGGAAGCGTGCGGAAGATAATTTGGATACTTCTCTTCCTGAGGTTGAACCTGGAAGAAAGAGCATTTTCAATGCCGAATTGGAAGAGCATCGGAGGATAGCTTCGTTAGATTGGTATGTAGGGAAAGGTGTGGCCTGTGTCAATCCCGAGGACGGAGTCATCATGTGTCCCCAAATCAAGTACGAATAATGTGAATCCGTGGGTTCAAGTGAGCAGATTGCCTGAAGGAAGTTCTGAAGGAGCTGTAGATATAATTATTGTGTGTTTCAATTATTAAAAGTTTCTATTATGTAACAATCACGAGGATGATTGTGTTTAGGTGTCATTTAGTGATTTATGTATGGTTTTAATAACTGGGAAACTTATTACGAAGTATGGTGTAATCTATTTCATTGGTTATAATAAATGTAAAAAAATATCATGCAATTGACAACCCTTTACGAGAGACCACGTAAGTAAATTATCTGTCAATGTAACCGATAATTATGTGTCAACGATGAAACAATGGTCCAACTAACTATGAGTCAACGGGAAAATAAAGCAATTGCTCTGTGGGTGTTAATCAGAGCTGAACGTTTGTTTTTTGTAAAAGAATTATGTGTTCAGACCAAGTTCAAAACCAATTTTTAACAAACGGTTTCTTGAAAATTTAGTTCCAAAACTAATACATCGACGGTTGAATCTTGCCAACCATTGCGTCTTTCACTCTCTTAAATAACTGATTTCCCAATCCAAAAAAGAACGCAAAACCGAGTCACTCAAAGAGAAAGTACCTTGCGCAGCGTATCATGGATCTTGAAGCAATGAATCAACCATCCACTGTATTAACACTTGGAAACAATGGAACCCAATCCACAACCGCTGCGGTGATGAGAGACGACGTGTTTTTGAAGCCTTGGGTGAAACGCAAATGCTCCCGACGTAGCGGTTCTCCTAACTATTCTCAAATGTGTTCTTCCTTGGCCGGATCTTCTTCTGAACCAGAGGAGCCGGATCTTACTGAAACAGAGTACGCCACTCTGTCCCTACTAAAGCTGGATAATGACCATTCCACTCGTCAAGAATCAGCACCGCTGCAGTCAGAAGAGGCGAGCAAACTGTTGTACAAGTGTGGCATTTTGGAAAGGCATTTGTTTCTCACCAGGCATTAGGCGGACATAAAGGCAGTCATCGTATTAACCAACCAGAAAATGTATCATCGCTTAAGAGAGGCGAGGAGCCGAGATTGATGAATTCAACGATTCAAAACCTTCTTCGAAAGGGGAAGAGTTACAAGTGTTCCATCTGCTCTCGAGTGTTTCTCACTGGACAAGCCCTAGGTGGTCACAAACGATTTCACTACGGAACAAATTCCGAAGACAGGGATGGAAGGAAATTTACTAAGCTGTGTGGAGACGACTTGATCGCGCATGCGGAAAATCGAAGAAACGTCGGCCTAATCAATCTTAACCTCCCACCATTACCAGACCTTGACTAACACCCAACACCGGCTTTCATGAAGAGTTCAGTGTCGGCAGCCCTGGTAAAGCACGCTCTTGTTGATAAGTTAATTAGAAATTAGTTTTTCTAAGTTCTTAAAAATATTAAGAAACAGTTTTAATCTATTACAACATAATAAGTAGGTTGTATTACAAATTACTATCTCTGTCTTTTTATTGAAGAAGAATATGTTTCATCGTCATTGTTAAAGTCTATTATTATTGATAATCAGATAGATTCCTTGAGTATATGGAAATTAAATATGACCAGTTTGGTTTGTTTGTTAACACGAAAACATTAAAAATTCATTCATCTGGCTGGATAAACAATTTCATAAATAAAACCATGAAAGCAAAAATATAATAATAAGAATTTGATTTCGGGCATTACTCTAAGATAACATTTTTTTTTGAAACACTCTAAGAACACCTATTTTGGAAAACATGTGTACATAAAAATTTAAATTAAATTTGTTAATTATATAACTCTATACCTATGGCACACCAGTCCTTTGTCATTTTGCTATATATTCATTTACGTGAATGGAACGCAATCATATTAGGGGGTTATTAAAGAATCATTAATATATTGATCTTCGCAACTCTTTTTCAAAATTTCCTCGTCCTCTTCTTAATTATTTTTAAAAGTTGGTTGAAGCTACCAATAACGAACTTGGATTGGATGAACAATTCAACAGTTTAATGATTTAATTTAATAAAGATAAATGAGATATAAGTATTACATTAATTTGTTTCTTTATGGGCAATTCATATTTACATAGCGGACAATAATGACTTGTGTTAAGACATTTTACAATACATTCATGATGAAATTTGTGAGCACAGTCTAGCCTAACAATTTCTGCTCCAATTACAAAATTCTCCAAGCAAATAACACATTCGATGGCATCACAATCAAATGTTCCACAATGGCACTCAGAATAAAGCTTGACATTCAATGAATTCACTGTTGATTCATCTGTCGGAATGAACTTAACCTCAAAGTTTTCTAAGGATTCTTGTATTGCTATGTTAAGCTGAATGTTTTCTTCCTCGCTCCAAGAGTCTGTATTTAGGTATGCATCTATAATCGATGATCTTGGAGGACTACGAAGACAAAATGTAAACCGTAGTAGATTTCCAGGCCCAACAACTAAGAGATCCATTCGAGGAACACGGGGACTAGTTGACATAATCAGCCTCCAATTATTTGGAGGCTGATTACGTCATGAATTATGTCCCCTATTTCTATGAATATGAAGAAACTTTTAGAATACAGAAATAGACTCAGAATCTTGATACTTTCTTTTCGTGATTCTAAGCCCCGGCCGAATCAGCATATTTTTCGAAGCCCCGTAACTCTTCCTCAGCCAGGCTGGGCACATGTTTTGTTAAACCACCCATAAGAATCATATTCTCTTTTTATTTTCTTTATTATTTTATAGATTCTCTCCCAATTGGTTGGACCATAGGTGTGAAATCCTTAGAACTCATTAAATTATTACGATTACTAGAAATAGAACCCAAAAATAATAGAAATGCACACAAAGTAAGGAATAAAATATTAGGAGATGAAATAATATCCATTGCCATCATGCTGGTACTGAAGATGTAGGATAACGATGCGGTTTTGCTTATTCCGCCTGAAATAAAGGAGCAAAATAACTCATCTTTTAATGGAGATGGTTCGTCTGATATAAATTCCTCTAGTGAGTAAGTATACGAAAAATGTATCGTATCTAGATTCCCTGGTTGGATAATAACAGTTTCAACAATGATCGTCCACTCGCTCCCATTTTCAGGATGATCCTCAATTCTATAATCGAACGCAAGGGGCAGAGGATTGTCATCTACAGATTAAACGTAAAATTGTTAATGATATATGTTATTAAAATTATTAAAAATATAATTCTGGATTTTATGAGTGAATTTAAAAAAAAACAAAGCGAAATGAACCTAAATCCATATCCATCTAACAAAATCTTCTTTGATTCCTTACGACCTGCGTTTTTGGAAAGTTTGTTTCCGGAAAGTAAACCATGTAGGTGTTTTTATAGACTGAAGTCGGCGTGTCAACGAATTATATTTTAAAGGTGAATAGACGTGTCCCTTAAACATGTGACCTTTAGAGTTAACATAGGTACCTGTTCGCTAAACACCGTAACTGCAACATATATAAATTTTCATGTAGTGAAAGTATCCATTTCTAAGTTCAGATGTTTATATATGTGAGGGAGGTAAGTTCTATGTGAGGGAGGTAAGTTATATTAAGAAAAGTAAATCAAATTAGAATCTTGAGAGGTCGTGTTCTTCCCAAAAAACTTAAGGAAATTACATAAAACTTCACCAGTTTCAGTTGGCATAAAATTGTGTCTATTTCACAAAAATCATTGATTTTGAACGACTATATAATTTCATTGCACAACTTAAATTTATTAATTAAAAAATTCCATCTCTCCACTAAATATAGGATTAGTTTTATTCACTTATAATTAATTATTATTTTTGAGGTTACATCTTTTCATTATTTAAAATAGTGTTTTAAACCATAACTTTTGAATCTTTATAAAGAAGGTCCTACAAGTTCTGTCTCGTCACAATAAACTTGAGTATTTTGTATTTGTAATAAACCAGATGTAGTTTTTGGAAATAAAATATTACAATGTATTTTATGCAGGGAAGATGCAAACTTTTTTTAAAAATATATTTTTAAACTATTTATCTTACAAATGATTTCCTACAATTATTATGTGTTGAAAATAGTTATTACTTTTAAGAATCATATGTGCCATGATGCAAGGTGTCCTTTATCCAAATATTTAGCGGCAGAGAGTCTTTAAATAATTTAAGACAATATTATGACGATGACTAGTTTCTCCTTGGTAATAAGGTGAGGATTTTCAAACCGTATATAGCAAAATCGACACGCTAGATAACAGATGTTGAAACAAACTACAAGTCATGATAAATTACAAAATATTAAATTAACATAGATTTTTAATAATGAGAGAATGCCTATATAAAAAAACAAAGCGAACATACAAAACTTGTATGGTTAAAATCACATTCAGGATATGCACAATACCAAGATCCTTCGAAAACACCGTGGCCGGTATGACAGAACTGCAACAATGTCACCTCGCTTTCTCGAGCATTGGCAGTCACCACAGCTAATTTGTTTTCCCACCCTTCTATTGCATTATCAAGAAAATCCTTCCCACACTCTGGGAATCCAGAACACACCAAAATTAGAGATTTCATAATAATTGCCCTATCATCACCACGCTTCGCCGCCCTTTTGATGTAGAATCCTCCCTCTTGTAATTCTCCATATACACATAAAAGTTTCTAAACCATGAAGATAAAGGGCTTGAGGATTATCACCTTCAACACAGTCATGGAAAAAATTAAGATTCCTAGAAACAAGTTGACTGTTTTGAATAAATTGAGATAGATTAACGCGTTTACGAAATTCAGAATTAAGAATTATGTTTCGGCCCTCTTTTCCAGATGACAAAATACTACCAATTGTCGTTAATGATGAATTACTCAGTTTAAGAGAAATTTCAACCTTAACTTCTTGTGGTATATGTGGTAATCGTGCCGCCTCATTTACTTTAATAAGTATTGAAGAACCACTGCATAATAGATTTGGACACATAAGTAAATTTTTGGACTGCACACACAAACTACAATAATATAAACTCTAACCTAGAAGATGCAGATGAGGAAAGCGCGGACACTCGTTCGGGAAGCCATGGGTTCGTCATCGGTTTTATGTCAAACCCCTGAATGTTTGTCATCGTATTAAGAAAAACGTCCACACGACGAGTTTTTTTGGGAGTTATTATGTAAAAACTAAACGGTTGAATACAATTCTAAATAGAGTTGATGGTTTGTTAATTTTTAGAGCGATAAAAGGCGGGGGGTAACTGTTGTTTTAAACGTTTGATATGAACTTCAAAAAATGACGACAATTTATAACGAAAATTGTGATCTTATTTTTCCTAAAAAGTTAATAACTCACGACTATTTTATATCTTTGTTTATCTTGATCAGAATGAGGACCACATCACTTTAATATGTAAGCACACTTTAAATAATTAAATCGAGTAGTTGATGACTTTCAAAATTATCATTCTTTATGAAAAAGTCACAATACATTAAACTGAAAACATAAACATATGTCTCATATATTTATAAAAATACATTACAATCAGTTATAATAAAATAAACGTACTTTGTTTACATTAGACAATATGACGGCATAAGGGACAACAATTGTTTATTTTGAACCAACTAATTAAACAATTCTCACAATACTTATGACCACATGGAATACATAGCAGACTCTTGATATTTTATGTATGTTTCTAAACATATCATACATGTGATATTGGTAATGCCTTCATCCGTTCCCTCTCCAACAAACATTTCTTTAGGCAATGCATAAATTGAATCTTCAGAAGCTGGTGTTTGACCTGTATGAACACTGTTGAAAGATTCCTGAATAACCTGTTCTTCTGTCAAAGTAGGCATCCATCCACAAATATGAAGAGATAAATACAAAGTTACATTTATACGGTTTTTATTACTCGGCGAGGACGTTAGTTCTTTGCTTAACGAAACAAGCGTGCTTAGCATTCGACTCGCATTAATTACCTCAACTCCCTCATTTAGCAACGCCATATAAAAATATGCTTTATCTTCTGATGCATCTCCATACACAAAATCCCCCTGATTGAACTGAAATGATCGCAATATGGGCGAGGTAGATAAATTTTTGAAAATCTTACATTGTACGCTTACCAAGCCTCCACTCACTTCACGTGAAAGGCCATAAGTAATGTCAAATGTAGTAACGTTTCATTCATTTGGAAAGATGGAGATATCTGAAAGATGTTCAAAATAAGCTTACAATAAGATTTCTATAGGAAAAAAGCAGAATTATTGCATACCAAACTGCCTTTTTATTTTGCTGTTAATAAATCAAAGTGAA